CCGGGCTCAGCACCCCCAGGCTCAGCACCCCCAGGCTCAGCACCCCCAGGCTCAGCACTCCCAGGCTCAGCACCCCCAGGCTCAGCACCCCCAGGCTCAGCACCCCCAGGCTCAGCACCCACACGCTCAGCACCCCCCGAGTCAGCACCCCCAGGCTCAGCACCCTCAGCAGCACCAGAGTCACCAGCGACCTCGACGGGCTCAACAGCGTCTACCTGGGACACACCTGAACGGGCGGGACCCTGAGGGGGGAGGGGGTCTACCGGGGGGGGACCTGGCACAAGGAAGAGCGGTGGCGGGGGGAGGGACGGAGTGCGGTAGGGGAAGAGACGGTAGTAGGGGACCGATTTGTCGAACGTGACGTCCTGGGAGGACAGAACACGGCGAGAGGTGGGGTGGTAGAACTGCCACCCTGGCGCGTCAGGGGGGAAACCTAGGAAGACGCAGGGAGCAGCACGAGGGGACAGCTTGTCCGCAGACAAGTCGCGGACAAACGCCCGAGATCTCGAGACACGGAACGCAGACGCATCGCCAACCTTCCCCGTCCACAGCAAAGCTGGGGAGGTCTCCGGCATGGAGACCCTGGGCTGAAGGTTGATCTGATGCGCCGCGTACCGGACCGCAAACAGCCACAGAAAATGGGGGGCAGCCGCATGCATCATGGACGTACGGGCGACGTCCATGACCATGCCAATGCGGCGCTCAGCAATCCCATTTTGCTGTGGAGAGTCCGAAAGCGTGAAGGTCTGGCGGATGCCTCGTGCACGATAGTAGGCTCGCAGAAGGCCAGAGGAGAACTCTCCTCCCCTGTCAGAGTGCAGGCGCAGAACAGGAAAGTCTGAGCCAAAGCTCTGCCTGAGCTGGAGACGAGCTGCGCGGATCCAGTCGATCAACACCTCAGTGACATCACCCTTGCTGCGCAAGGGGAAGACTGTGGTGTAACGCGAGTAGTCGTCGACCACCAGCAGGAAGTAGCGCTCGTGACCCTGTCCACGGACGCGGGCCGGGCCCCACACTTCCGTGTGAAGCGTCTGCAGTGGGGCCTCTGTCGGAGTAAACTGAGAGGAGTGAGGGGCAGCCCGCTGCCGCCCCTCGACACAGGGAACGCAGGTAGGGCCATGCCCCAGAGGAAGGGGAGGGAGGGACCGGGGAAGACCAGAGACAAGGACACGGGAGGCCATGCTTTGGAGACGAAGCAGGGAGGGGTGACCAAGGCGGTGGTGCCAGAGGAGAGTCTCGTGAGACAGGAGACGACACGAGCAGGGGGCAGACTCAGGACCAGACCTGGACGCTGCAGCAAACACCTGACCCGACGCAGCTACTTGACCAGACGCAGTGACTGGAGGAGACGCAGTGGTCACCGTGTACAGGCTCGACCCCGGCCGACGTGTAAACGTGGCCAGGTGTCGGCCTGTCCGAGCGTCTGTGCAGTGGGTCACCCGCTGACTCGCAGAAGTGAACTGGTGAACCCCCGCATCCTGTAGGTCAGCACCACTCACCAAGTTCGTAGAGAACGAGGGGAGGTAAAGACCAGACAGGGTGCCAGAGGGGGCCGCCGAACATGGGAGGACAGTGGAGAAGTGAGCAAGGACAGGACCCCCAGATGGGTCTGCCAAAGAGACTGCAACTGGCCGACCAAGCGGCGTGAGTGTGGTGCGGTCTCGAAAGAAGGAGCGGGAAGCCCCAGAGTCAAGAGTGAAGGTGTGAGAGGCTGGAGCCGACGCGGTACCTGAGAGAGCAGACTCACCCGCACCTGAGGAAGCAGACTCACTAGCACCTAGAGCAGCAGCCGCACCTGTACCTGGAGCAGGAGACTCACTAGCACCCAGAGCAGCAGCCTCACCAGTAGCTAGAGCAGCAGGTCCTATACCTGGGTCAGGCGGGACGCACAGGTGACCGGCACGGTCAGCACTAGTAGGCAATGCATACATGGCAGTGAGAATAGCATCATAGTCAAGAGCAAATATATCTATTCTCTGCCTAAGCAACTCCACCCAGTCGGGGAGCTCAGCCTCGTTGCCAAACGCGGTACGCCAGGCGTCGCTCAGACGGGCGAAGCAGCGGGACTGCGTGTGACTAGGTGTCCCACAAGGCTGACCAGTCCGAGCACTAGTGCGAATCACGTAAGAGTAGCGAACAGAACTGAGAGACCCTCCACTCTGAGCGTACCACTCACGAAGCTGCTGGGGCGTGAGAGACGCGCGTGGGCGTCGCTTTAGCTGCATCTGGCCGCCACCAGTAGTAGTAGCAGCAGTAGTGGTAGCAGTAGTAGCACCGCCACCCCTACAACCCCAACCAGCGTACCACTCACGCAGCTGCTGGGGCGTGAGGGACTCACGCGGACGTCGCTGGGGCTGCATCTGGCTCCGCCAGTAGAAGCAGGAGCAGGAGTAGCAGCAGTAAGGCAGGCCGAAATTCAGGGCAGGGGCTCACCAGTGGTGGGAAGAGCAGGCTCGGCGACTCGGCGGTGCGGGCGGCTCGGGCGGCTCGGCAGCACGGCGGCTCGGCAGCAACTGCGGCCCGGCGGCTCGGGCGACTCGGGCGGCTCGGCGGCATCTGCGGCTCGGCGACTCGGCGGCTCGGGCGGCTCGGGCGACTCGGCAGCAACTGCAGCTCGGCGACCCGGCGGCTCGGGCGGCTCAGGTGGCGCTGCGGCTCGGGCGGCTCGGTAGCAGTTCGGCGGCGCCGGCGGCTCGGTGGTGACGGCGGGGCCGCTTGGGGACGGCGGCGGGGCCGGGTGGAGCGGCGACGGGGCCAGCAGAGGTTGCGCTGGGGCTGTAGGGTAGGTGACGGGGCCAGCAGAGGCGGCGCCGGGGCCGGGAAGGGCGGCGCCGGGGCCGCAGAGGTAGGCGACGGGGCCAGTAGAGGCGGCGCTGGGGCCGGTAAGGGCGGCGTCGGGGCCAGCAGAGGTGGCGCCGGGGCCAGGAAGGGCAGCGCCGGGGCCGCAGGGGTAGGCGACGGGGCCAGCAGAGGCGGGGCCGCAGGGGCAGGCGACGGGGCCAGCAGAGGCGGGGCCGGGTCGGGAAGGGCGGCGTTGGGGTCGCCGGGGTAGGCGACGGGGCCAGCCGAGGTGGCGCCGGGGCCAGGAAGGGCGGAGCCGGGGCCGGGATGGGCGGCGCCGGGGCCGCAGGGGTAGGTGACGGGGCCGCTAGGGCGGCGGATCGGGGCCGCGAGGGCGGCGCGACGCGGCCGCTAGGGCGGCGCGACGAGATGGGGCGCGATGGGGTAGCGGGGAGTGGCGCGCCTAGAAGGAACGGGGCCGCGCGCCTCGGGGCGCGCGCCAGAGATAAAATCGTCGCGCGCCAAATAGGTCGCACGTCACGGGGCGTGCGACAGATCGAGTAGCAGCGGAAGCACTAGTAGGGCCCACAGGCCAGGAGCATATGTGCTCTGAAACCATGTGAAAATGAACGAGAATGAATGCACTATGAAAGAGTTGGGTACAAGTACTAACCCTAATTGGGTTGTACCCCATATAGGCTACCCCACTACAGCCTACACAAAAGCATAAGCTATAATGTTCTGACAAGAGAACCTTGAAATATACCCCCTAACAGAAGTACACAGTAAGGCATATGTTGTTGATTTCCAAGGAGAAATTGTTACCCTACACTACCCCACTCCCCAAGGGAGGCCCCTTATAGAATCGTGTGTATGTTGCGGAAGTTCCGGCTGCGCAGATACTCGGAGAGGACGAAGCGGTTTTTATTTTTGTCAAGTAGGACCCAGCTTTCCTTGGTGGGCGTTCGGTCTCTCTAGCGAATCAGGAACTCGATGTAGTCATGGTCCACGTGGGTCGCGTATTCAACGACTCATTATTTTTATAGGTATGATGTTTGGTTCGGTTGGCGGTCGTGTCATGTTGGACGGGTGGCTGAGGATAGGAAGGACTGAAGTACCATTACAGACTCACAACCAACTATACAAAGGCTATGGTCTATAATGCTCAGATCTCCTTACCCTACACCTATAGAGCTGTCGTTTGACTGTTGTAGAAGCTTGTCTGTCCGTGAGATCCATCTATGCGGGAGGGTCTAGTTGAATTGACTCCTGTGTTGCGTAATGTCTTGCTCAAAGCCGCGGCTTCCCCCACATATGCTGGATCCAGCCAGGAACACGTGGGCATGCGCGCACAGCAGCTTGTCCAATATGGCCACGATGCCTGCATGAACGGGAGGGAGAGTGTGGGAGAGAACATAAAATAAGGTGTATTTTGAGGCGCCTCAAAATACACCTCAATGAACACGTGGGCATGCGCGCACAGCAGCTTGTCCAGTATAGCCACGATGCCTGTATGTACAGAAGGGAGAGCGTGGGTGAGAATAGAAAATACGGGCACCATAGAGGGTGGAAGAGAGAGTAGATGGCAAGAGAGGGAGAGGAAGTGCTTGAGGGTTGGGATCCATGCGGAGAAAGACGCACGCGTCCTGCGTCTGGACACAGCGTCCAGACGTAGAGACGCAGGACACACCCCGTATTTTTTTCAGGGCTGACCGGAAAATAACATTGCCTCTGCGCAAAATTGACTCTAACGATTTCGACTCGAATGTCAATTTCGCGTCATGTCGACCCCCCCTAACCCATTTTGACCATCAAAAACACCCTAGAGGGTTTACCAAGACAATTCTCAATCGTAAACCCTAAACCCTGAAAATTTGAAGGGGACGATTTTGCCTCAAATGTGTGCATCGTCAGACCCCCCCCCCCCCCCCCTTCCCATACCCTATAACATCATTTTCGGCTGCCCAGGGGTTTTGTTTGCCCTGCCCGGGCATGCGTCCTAAAATCCCTCCTCTAGCGTCCTACGTCTGGACGCAAGAGGCCTAGACGCAGGACGCGCCTTTCTCAACATAGGTTGGGATGGCACACGAGAGCGAGGCAAACTCTTTTGAGTCGACTCAAAAGGCGAGCTCTTGGTAGAAAGGAAAAGGGGCATAGCACAGTGGGGGAAATCTCAGGCAGTCAGATCTAGCAGCCCAGGTAGCCACTGAAGCAGCCACCTAAGCAGCCAGCCAGTGAGGCAGTGTGCACTGACCAGGGTCATAGTGGTTGATTGCGGGCATCAGCTCATCCACCATCACAGTCCCCGCCACCAACTCCCTCAGCCACCGCAGCTTCTCCCGCGGGGCCTTGAGTACGCGCGCTTGCCCTTGGAACATCCACGTGGTCATTTTCCATGAGTCCGACCGCACCACGCTGCCCGCCTTGTCATCAAATGGCACGTCGGCGACGATGAAGACGGCGGAGATGTTGTGGCGGCCCTTCATGCCGTTGATGAGGTCGCGCGCCGCCTCCATGCACCCCGCCATGAGCTCCTCCAGCACGCCCGCCTCCACCTTGAAGCCTCTTTGCACTAGCTTGTGCGCCTGTAGGGTGAGGTGAGATTAGGGCAGCAGCGGGATGCGAATGCGAATGAATCATGAGTCACTTTGGGTCTGCTCAAAAGCGAATGGAGTGTTAGCTTTATGAGGTGGAAGGTGATGAACTCACGAGGCGGAAGGCGATGAACTCACGAGGCGGAAGGCGATGAACTCGCGAGGCGGAAGGCGATGAACTCGCGAGGCGGAAGGCGATGAACTCGCGAGGCGGAAGGCGATGAACTCGCGAGGCGGAAGGCGATGAACTCGCGAGGCGGAAGGCGATGAACTCGCGAGGCGGAAGGCGATGAACTCACGAGGCGGAAGGCGATGAACTCGCGAGGCGGAAGGCGATGAACTCGCGAGGCGGAAGGCGATGAACTCGCGAGGCGGAAGGCGATGAACTCGCGAGGCGGAAGGCGATGAACTCGCGAGGCGGAAGGCGATGAACTCGCGAGGCGGAAGGCGATGAACTCGCGAGGCGGAAGGCGATGAACTCGCGAGGCGGAAGGCGATGAACTCGCGAGGCGGAAGGCGATGAACTCGCGAGGCGGAAGGCGATGAACTCGCGAGGCGGAAGGCGATGAACTCGCGAGGCGGAAGGCGATGAACTCGCGAGGCAGAATGCGATGAACTCGCGAGGCGGAAGGCAATGAACTCGCGAGGCGGAAGGCGATGAACTCGCGAGGCGGAAGGCGATGAACTCGCGAGGCGGAAGTGAGAAAATGAACGAGAATGAATTGACTAAGGGAAAGTTGGGTACAAGTGCAAACCCTAGAAAGTCGTACCCCATATGTGCTACCCCACTATAGCCTACAATAGCTATGTCATATAAATCTGACAGGAAGGCGATGAACTCGCGAGGCGGAAGGCGATGAACTCGCGAGGCGGAAGGCGATGAACTCACGAGGTGGAAGGCAATGAACTTAGAGCGGTAGTGCACCGCAATGTACCGGGGGGGCAGGTGGGCCATGGCTCGATGCGCCATGGTGTGCCATGCCTGGCTGTATGGAAGCATCTGGAATGAGGTGTCGTCTGTGGAGCGGTGGAAGGCCACTCGGTCGTATGTGGTCTTCACCCACACCAGCACGTCTCCGTTCCGCCTGCACTCATGCAGCCGTGAAACGCGCAAAAGATGCAGAAGTGGGCAGAAGGGAAGGCAAATTGTTTTGCTGACAGAGGGGTGCTGGATCACCCGCGACCGCTCCGCCCGCACCACTGAAAGGGCTGGCTTTTTGAGACGTCTCAAAAACACTCGGAGGGACTCCAGCAGCTGCCCAGGGTCATGTCTAGGGCCTGTTATCCCTCGGAGCATGGAATAACGCACCACTGAAAGGGCTGGCTTTTTGAGACGTCTCAAAAACACCCTCATTTCTGCGACTTGCCTTGAGAGAAAGTCGACCGCCATGTACGGGAGGTCTGCACATGTACGAACGCCACTAAAGGGCTGGCCACGAGGAACCTGCGCGCCCTCGTGGCCTGGGGGGGAGGTTAGATGGGATGCAGGCAGTGACTTTTGAGGTACCTAAACAAAAAAGAGCTGCTCCTGGTGGCCTGGAGCAGGCAAACACGAGGAACCTGCGCGCCCTCGTGGCCTGGGGGGGAGGTTGGATGGGATGCAGGCAGTGAATTTTGAGGCGCCTAAACAAAAAATAGCTGCTCCTAGTGGCCTGGAGCAGGCAAACACGAGGAACCTGCTCCTCCTGGTAGTCTAGAGGGGGGGGGGGTGGGTGGAATGCAGGTAGTGGCAAATGGGGCAGGTGGGGGAGGGATTAGACTTCTCAGTAGTGCTCGTTCGTGCACCCTGGTGGACCTAGGGTGGTGAAATGGAGGGAGTGGGAGGGGAGAAGAGGGCACGGGGGGGAAGAGGGGCGAAAGGGAGTGGTGAGAGCTGATTATTCAAATGAAAACTGGGGCAGGTGCGCGGGGGATATGATAGGATTCTCAGCAGTACTTCTGCACCCTGATGCACCGGGCTGATTTTTTAGGCGTCTCAAAGATCACCTCAATGCTCGGGGATATAATAGAACTCTCAGCAGTACTTCTGCGCCCTGGTGCACCGGGGAGGATGGAATGGAGGGCGAGTGGAATGGAAAAGATGAATGGGGAGGGGAAGGGAGGGAGGAACATAGAACTGCTTGCTAGAGTGGACAATGTGGGGAAGCTTGCGAGGACTGAAGGCAGAAGAAGAAGAGGCGGCTACGATGAGAAAGAGCGGAGGAGGGCAGGAGGGGGGGAGGAAAGAGGGAGGAGGATGGGGAAGGAAAAAGGGGGCACCATGGCATTGGAGAAGGGCATGTGAGGCACCGCCCAGCACGCCTCAGGCCACGTGCTGCACTGTGCTGCTGCTGCTCCCTCCCCTCCTGCTTCTGCTTGCCCTGCTCTTGCTCCTGCTTGCCCCGCTCCTGCTCCTGCCCCTGCTCCTTCTCCTGTCATTGATCCTGCTTCTCCTGTTGCCCCTACCTCTGTTCGTGATTCTCCCTCTCCTTCTTCTGCTGCCGTCCCGCCCTCGTCGCCCGCATGTCCCATGTTGCTGCACTCGCAGCTCAGCCGGGCCTCTATCCCGTGCACCCCGCGGCACACAGCATCCACGCCCTCTTCTATCTGCGCCAGCGACGTCGCGTTCCGCTTCACCACCCTCCGCACGTACGCGCTCGCTGCTGCTCGCGCCATCGCCGCCCGCCGCCAGCCCGCGGAGCACAGCAGCGCAGCGGAGTTTGCTGGCCCGGCGCCGGTAGCAGCAGCACCACCACCGCCACCGGTAGCACCAGCTGGACCGCCACCAGGAACAGGATCACCTGCGCCATTGGCGCCGGTAGTGGTACTATCGTCCGTTGTAGGCCGACTATCAGGGCTATCACCGGGGTTAGCGGGCCTGTGAGGTTCCTGTGTGAGCCGAGCGTGGGGGCTCGGCAGTACCAGCGGCACCGCGGCCTAGTAGTCTGCCGCCTCGGCCTCTCTCCGCCTCGCTTCCGCCGCCCATTGCTGCAACACGTTCCGCAGCTCCGCTCTGCACGCCGCTGCGGCACGCTCCTGCCGCGGAGTCAGTGGCGCGGGGCCGTCAAGGCCCGTGGGGCCGTTGGGCGGGGAGGAGTGGGCGGCGTGGGAGTTTCTCATTGCCGTCACGCACGAGTCCGTCAGGTTCTTGAGAGGATGACTAGTAGAGGCGCGATAGCGGACTGCGACGGTTCTGTTATGGTGGAAGGGTGTAAGGAGCGTTGCCGGATAATGACGGTGCGATGAGTTGATGGTAGCCAACTCGAAGGAGGCACGAGAGGATGACCAGCAGTGCAAATGAGCGTAATAGTTGATCTACGGAGCCATTGGTAGCTAGTCTCGCTGGGAAAAACATAGAAGCCATAATTGAAGCCCGGCTTGATTCCCACGACACGCGCGTCACTCATAGCAAGACTAGGTCATTCGCCACTGCTACTGTTAGCTTTCCTGCAGTCGCACACGCGGAGAGTTCGCGCGCCGGTGGCCGGTCTGAAACACTCATTCATCGAGGATTGTTGCTAGCCGGCTCTATCAAAATTCTTGCAACATATAACTTTAGGCGCGGCGGCATGCCCTTCACCACTTGAAAGCCGGCAGGCGTCACACGGCAGTCAGTGATTTCAGCATAACAAACATATGGAACTTGCTGGTTTTCCCGCTCGCGTAATGAGACAGATTTTGGGTCTTCTCGTTCGGGCCAAACTGAATCGACGAATCCTGATGCACCACGTTCTGACACACTTTCGGAGACTCGGGTAATTTACGCACGAGTAGCTGTGTTGAAACAAGTTGTCAACATTCAATAAACATTTAATTGCTTGTTCGGAACAATGTTTCTCTTTATAAAATATTATTGTACACCGGGGCAAAAAAATAAAAACCCCCTTCGGATCAACACTCATTGTGACAAGGTGTTTCGGGTTTAGTGCTACAATCATCCCACATTGGAATAATTGCATCATTTAAATAGAAATTATGTCGTCTTGCAGCGGATATTGATCGCACTAGAAGTAAGCAATCATGCCAAAAAACAAATATTTGTCAGAAACTAACGAGTAGAAATGAATGCATTGAGCTGAAAGTTGATACAAGTATGACCCTAATTGCGTTGTACCCCATATAGGTTACCCCACTACAGCCTACACAGCACACATAGCAGGATAGTTTCACACACTCCCATAGGCAAAGTGGGGGAGAACAAGGGGTCACAAGACCAGTCAAGAAAAGCAAAGCAAGCTCAGGGTGGATCACGAAATCACCACACACTATGAGCACAAGCAAATCGCCAGAAGGCCAGTTAACATGCATAGTTATATAAATGGGAACAAGGAGTACAGTGATTACAACCTAGAAAGTGTAAGCATGCAGGTACAAGTATATAGATCACAGTACAAGCAAAGACACGAAGTGAGCAAGTGAAGGAAAGTAGGCACAAGGCCAAAAACAGTACAGAAATGCTGATGATCACGAGGCTCAAGTGCCTTGGTGAATATATCAGCAGTGTTGGCCCGAGTGGCCACGTAAGCAAGACGAAGCTGACCACGTTGCTGCAACTCTCGAGCAAGGAAGTAACGCAGAGCGATGTGCTTCGTCTTGTGCTCCACTCTGTGCTCCTGACACAAGGCAATCATGGCCTTGTTGTCTACGTACAGAACTGGAGGAGAACTAGGCCACTCTCCCAAGTCGGTCAGCAGGTAGGTGAGCCAGCGTAACTCTTGTGCAGCCATGGCCCCTGCGTAGATCTCAGCCTCACAACTGGAGCTGAGAACAGAAGACGAGCGGGTAGACCGCCAAGAAAAAGAACTGGAGCCAATGCTAAAAATGTAACTTTGTGACGACCGCTGCATAGCCAAGTCGTCAACCCAAGACGCGTCTGTGTGGCCAGTGAGAACAACTCGACTCTGTCCTCCAAAGCACAAGCCCCAGCCCAACGTACTGCACAAGTAGCGTAACATCCTCTTAGCGGCTTCCCAGTGCTATTGTTGGTGTCTCCCGGGTGCAACGTAGCGTGCCAGGATGCTAAGAGGGTAAGCAAGGTTAGGTCGAGTGCAGATCATCAGGTATACGAGGCAGTCCACAAGCTCTGGATACGGGCCACTTGGCTCTACGGACTCGTCCGAAGGTGGAGCTGAGAGCGAGTGACCGGTACCTAGAGGAGTGGACCATGGAGAGGACCAAGTGAAGCCGAAGCACTGAAGGACCTGGTGCACCATGTGTGACTGAGTGAGGGCGATGGTGCGGTGTGCTCTGTCCCGGGTGATCTGCAAGCCAAGATAGTTGCGCAGCTCACCCAAGTCTATGCACATGTGTCTCTTCTGCAGCTTTGACTTCAGTAGAGTCAGTGCCTCAGTATTAGCAGTGGAAAAAACCAAGTCGTTGACGTACACTAGCATTTAGAACGGCAGCAACGAAATGTCGTTGCACAGAAACAGCGACGTGCCAGCGGTCGAAGGAGCAAACCCAAGAGCCGCAAATGTCGTCCTCAGTGTGTCATGCCACTCACAAGGCGCTTGGCGGAGACCGGAAGCTCCACTGGGTACCAGGAGGAAACGACCCACTAACGCCAGGTGGGCGGCGTAACCCGATCTCCTCGTGCAGAGTGCCCTGTAAGAAAGTTGTGTTGAATTCAAGAGAGTGAAGCTTGTAGTCACGCTGAGCGGCGACGTACAGCAGCACCCGAAGAGTAGTCATCTTTGAGGTAGGGGAGAAGGTCTGGAAGAAGTCAACTCCCTGTCATTAACTAAAGCCTCTAGCAACATAACGAGACTTGAAGACAGGCGGAGAACCCGGCGGCCGCTTCACCCTGAAAATCCACATGCCATCGACTATTTTCGCCCCAGGAGGGGGAACTGCGCTGACGTAAGTGCTTGTGGACTTCCAGGATGCCTTCTCTGTGTCCATGGCTATCTGCCACTAAGAGGAGTAGGGACCTGTAATCACCTCTGCGTATGAACGCGGGATCGGGATGTCTGGAGCATCTAGGTCTCCCTTAGGTGCAAGCAGCATGGACACGAGGTGAGGTACAGCAGCCGCAAGACACTCAAAATCCTCCTGCATGTCATCAAGGACGTCCGTGCCAAGAGCACACTCACCCGTGATGGACGGAGGACAGACATACTAAGACTCAGCAACAAGACTAGCGGCATAGTCGAGACGACAGCTAGCAGCAAAGTTGACAAGCTCAGCAACTAGGGCAGACGCAGCAGTGGACTCAAATGACGGGTTAGTGACAATAGTGGCTAGAAGACGTGTGATAGTAGGACTGGCAGCACGAACTAAGTCTGACTCAGGGTCTGGACCATCAGGAAGAGAGGACTT